TGGTTCGGGAGCGATGGGGCGGAGGAGCGGAGGCAGCCCAGCCGCCCAGCGTGAGGCCCCTGGGTGGACTCAGCCTTGCCTCGGACTCCCGCAACAAAAAGAGATGAGGAAACGCCGAGCAAATTGTTTGGGGAAAGCCCGGGCCCTACCAGAACAAACAGCAGAGGAGTCCTCAATTTCAGTAAAACTCTGATTCCTTATGTGGTTGTAGCTCTGCATTTCTCTCTTTCTGCTCTGGATAGCCTGTATTTCTCTTGCTTTGCTTTCGGTAGGAGGAAACATCTGCACTTGGGTGAAGCTCGTAGCTAACAGAGTGGTGTTTCTGACTCCCATTTGGGGTTCATGAGAGTATTCACCTGTCCTGGGGAAATGCCAGCTTGCCTTCCTGCTGTGGTATCCGGGATGATGAGTGCTAATGCGTTAGGTGTGGAATTGGTGGAGGGGACTGGTGGTTGGGTAGGGAATGGGAGAGAATTTACAGCTGTCTGCTGCCGTGGTCCCAGGGTGTCAAATACGAGCTGGAAGGTAAACTGCAAGGTGTATTTGGGATGCTTTCAGAGGTTTTGGTTTTATGAGTCTGCAAAGAGCCTGGCTGTTGATGGTCAGTGCTGGAAAAGGAATGATCTAGGCGGGATTGAGGCTTTCTAACTGCTTGAGGCTGCGCTGGAGCCTTGCTGGAGCAGGTAGTAAGTGCTAAGCATGGGACGGTTAATCCCGCTCTTTACAAGAGCACAATTTGTTTCCTGGACAGGTCAGCAAGTTGTATGGGAGCTGTTCCTGACCCTGAGGTGTTTCTGGCCTCCTTTGCTCTTGCCATTTAAGCAGAGTTGTTGCTTTTGGAGAGGAGTGTCTCTGGCCTGCAACTCAGCTGGGAGGATAAAGAGAGGGGCAGAGGGATTTCCATGGGGCTTTCATTTGCTACTGGGAGGGAAGCTGCTGGTGCATTAAAAAGCCATTTTCTCTGTTCGCTGCCACCTTACTGACCATTCATTCTTGGTGTGTGGTAGTGAAGTCCAATAAAGTGTACTGGCTCTGTTTCTGAACCACCAGAAAGGGAGTCATTACTGCATCCTGCCAGAGGAAAGAAACACATTTCCTTGACCCTTATGTTGTATTCTGAATTGTTGTCATTGGGGTCGTGTTTGTGGGGTTTGGTGGTTGTTGGTTTTAGGTTGATTTTTTTTTTTAGTTGTTTTTTTTAAAATAATCCAAACAGTGTTTCGATGTGTGAGAATGGATACGTACCACATTGGGACAGACTTGGAAAGAACTGAAAGCTCTTTTAAGTATGGAAATGAGAGGAAAGCCACAGGATTTCTCAGGGTAATACAGCGTCTCTTTGAGAAACGGAAGAGAAAGCACTGAAAACAAAGGGCACTGGAGTGACCCGGGATGTAAAAGGCAGGCTAAAGATTTATGGCTCAGCTGGGACCTCTCTTTGCCTCTGGGTGAGAAGGTTGTGTGCTGAAGCCTGGCTTGTTCCCTGTCGTGTTCCCTGTCCTAACAGGCAGCACAGAAGTGCTCCCTGTTCATCAGCTCAGATCCCCAAGCACGATCCTCCTTGTAGACCACAAGTGCAGTGCGGAGTGTCCCAAAGTGCTGCTTTCGGTAGTGTCCCCAGCTCGCTGCCTTGGGAAATCTTTTAGGACATTTTGTCTGCAGAGACAACCACGTGATACTTTCTGTTCCTCAAAAACAAGAAGGGCATTTAGATCCTTTGTCAAGTGCTTACAATGTGCTTGTCTTTCTCCCATGCCTGGTATGTTTATATGTTAGAAATGTTCATTTTGACCAGGAGATGATAAATAAAGACCATGTAAGCTGCCAGGCAGTGGTTTTCAGAGGTGATCTTAACTCAGTAGGAGCTTTTCCACTGAGTTATTCTGGATATCAGCCATAACATCTAATTCATATGGACAGGAATTAAAACCTCTATTGTACTGGGTGCTCTGGGGACACAGAGACAAAGGCAGTCCTTGTGCCAGGTTTAAGAAATGCTCCAATCGGATCTTCATGCAACAGAGCCATATCAAACATGGGGAGATGCTGGGCATTTCAGAAGTGCCCGCTAAGTGTTCTTTTGGATCCCCCTGAACATATCATCCAAGGCAGTGGGTTCTCTCTTCCTTTTATGGCACCTGACATTTATTTCCTGACTGGAACTGTGCTGAAGCTGCTCCTCCTTCCTAAATGGAGACCAAACGAAGGGGAAGAAAGGCTCTGTAGTGCACCATTAAGCCCATGAGAGTGGAGAAAAACCTCTCTTAAGCTCTTGTTGAGGCTGGTTAATTTTGATGATCAGCTCTCTTAGGCATCCAGAACTGGGGTATAAGCTCTTTAGGGAAGCATTTTTTAGCGGAAGGATTTAAGTACTGGTGGCTGATATGTCTTTTGGCAGGATCCCAAGAGCTGGCTGGAAGAGGCCTCTACTACGAAGGAAATGCTGAATAGGACTTTTAATGAACTTGCATAGCAGTTCCTTAAGGACTGAGAAGACTCTCCACAGGGAAGAAGGGAGTGGGATGTAGCTAGAAAAAAAATCCTTTTTGTATTTGAGTTCTGACAATAAATGAGTGAATCCAGATTT